GTTATAATTTATATATTTTAATAAGTATATATTAAACCAGATAATTCTCTCTTCTCATAATTCTTATCCATAGCACTTTCAGTTTCTTTAAACTAAGATTCCAATTTGGCTTGTCTTTGTTTAAAAAGAAAAAAAATCCCACTGACATATTTCTCAGTTGGAATTAGCCAATTAAATATTACATGTTAATAATATATTTATGAGGCTGGTGATTGACTGTGCTCATATTTGGAAAGTAGTACCAGCATTTCCTCCTGACACAGAAAGGAAGTCAACTTGATCTGTGTCATATGGTCATCACAGTTTGCTGAGCTGGCTACCTCAGTTAGAAAAATGCTGGCTATCTATACTTGCACTGAGGAACTTGAATTTTGTTTACACTACATTGCTGCACTGAATAATTTCTCAAAGAGTTCTACTTTGCTTTATGGACTGAATTCCGTGCTAGCGAATGTTATGATAATGTTATGTGGCTGAAACTGGTTGACATGTATAGAGTAGTTCACGCAGTTAGAATTTTATCATACTTATAGGCATAAAATAATGATTCAAACAACATTATTGTAAGTGTTTTTTATACTAAAAATAAAATATAACAACTATTTTATGGCTCTATGGAGACCATAGTGTGTGGGCATGCATACAACTTGGCATAATTGTTTTAGGTTGCTTTTTTAAAACTGCAATTAGGCCAGATTCTTAGCAAATAATAACTGGCATAATATCTTTGATTTCAGTGGAGCTTATGTCAGTTTGGAGCATTTGAACATCTGTTCAAGGCTTTGGTAAAGAGCAACAGGAATTAAGTTAATTTTTTATTCCCTATATACACTCACACAGAGATATGTTTAGATTCAGCAACCCCCTTGATCAACTGCTCTTCACCATACAGACTCAACACCTCCAAGTTGGAAAGGCCCTTGCATCGAAGGTGCCACCATTGGTGTTGTGCTGCTGTCTCTCACCAAAGAGCACATGGATGGACAGAAGGCTGCTGTTAAAGATCTCAGCCTCACTTTCCACAGAGGTCAGATAACAGCACTCTTGGGACCTAATGGAGCTGGCAAGACAACAGTTATGTAAGTCTGCCATTTAGTGCTATTACACCGCCCTCCGATATCTGCTATGCTTTCTCCTTTCAAGATATTTGTGAACTTTTCTATGTCTTTTTTTTATTTCCAAATAAATATTTGATAAACTCCTCACAGCACATGACAACTGAAGTCTATATATCTATGACAAAAGCAGTATGATGAATAGAGAACTGGATCCTCTGTGCCACTGAAACCATGATGTAAGAGTTCAGGACCAGCTTAAGTAGGAGCTGGGCATGCCTGGGTGTCGACTCGAACACATCTCAGTGAAGTGTTCTTTTCTGCCATCCCATGTCTACTCCTATCAAATGGAGAGTGTGGAGTTTTATGGCATTCTGTGCTTTGCTCCTAAACATTGCAAGGGACTTCTTTCTTGGTAGCTGACCAAAATGAAAATAACAAAATGAAAATGACATCTAAAAAGGTCTCAATTAAAAACTCTATGTATTTCTACCTTTATGTTAACTATGACCAGTGTTGGAGGATGGGTCCCAATTAAGAATCACTCCTCAGCTAGAATACACACATGAAAAAGGAAATAATGTTCTGTTATATTTCATTGGGAAAAAATGAATTTTGTTATGGAAGTAAGGAAATGAAGGATTGTTGAGATCTTGGTTAAAAAAAAAATGCAGCCAAAAAAACCATTAGCAGTGATTCTATAACCATGCTCAACTGAACTGGTGTTCCTCTAAGGATGCTAGGATGTGCCTCAGGAAATCCAAGTGTGAGCTATGTAATGCAGTCATTGCAAATAATCTTGCTGATTTTTTTTAATTTTCTTTTATCAGATCACTGCTGACTGGTCTGTACCCACCAAGCTCTGGTACCATTATTATTAATGGAAAGGACATACGTACTGATCTGGCTGCCATCAGGACAGAGCTGGGTGTTTGCCCACAGTATGATGTCCTGTTCAACGTACTAACAGTGCGAGAACATCTCCTGCTTTACGGATCAGTGAAGGCACCTGGCTGGACAAAGGACCAGTTGAATCAGCACGTCAGTGGGTAAGTTTTGCTTTCATTTGCTGAAAACTGTCAAGTAAATTGGTAGGGTCTACTGCAAGCCATTGAAACAAGAAAGTGCCAAAGCAAAATTGCAAGTAGAAGCGAATGGGAACTGCAGGTTTTCTGTGATGTTTTTAGCACACTTCATATTCTGAAATAGTGCCTTGAAAATAGGTTTCCTAGTTTCTAACCTTTACTTAAATGTATTTGTAGTGATACAGTCAATGTTTTAAAACCTAGTATACAGAACCATCACATAATCATGTTTGACTGGAGTGGAGATGGTTAGGATGGTTAGCTTGGTAGCAGCTGTTTCTGCCTCATGGTGTCTGCCTTACCTCCCTCCTTGCTGGAAAGGCAGACAGAAAGAAAACAGCTGTGTGTTCACCTTGAGTTTTCAGATAAGTCAACACTGACTTTATGTGTTTATTATCTTGTATTGTCTCACCTGCAGTAGAGGGAAGATTGGAAAACCAGAAAAGGCAGGTTAAGTCAGTGCTTATTATGATATTTTTAAATAGGCCATTGTTTTTTTCCTCTGTAAAATTCATATTTTAAATGTTTTTAGTAAGTAAAGAGGTTTAAAAACAAACAATTCAATAGGAAAAACAAGCCAGAGCTCTGACATGACCTCTGAGGGTTTGCTACTTGTAAGGCTGAGAATGTTTGCTAGTGTTTTTAGGCTGCTAGTTAATTGAAATAGGACTAGATCATCTTCACTTATGCATTGTGTGTATTAAACTATTAGGAAACCATACAAGTGAGATCTTAATAGCAAACTAATAGCAAACTGCATTTTCTGAACTTCAGGAATAGAATGTATGCTCTTCTAATAGTGTGCCAGTGTAAGAAGTTTCTGTTTACCTTCTGATTCATGCTGGACTGTACAGAGAGCTGGGCACTTCCAAGCTTCAATGGAAATAAATGCCAAGTTGATGGGACTTCTGCTTAAATGTACAATTAGGCATACGCAGTCACATTTGTGACAAAGTGGCTTTCCTTTTTAGTAGCTATCATAAAAGTCTGTTACTTTAAAATTTTACCTGAAAAATCTCTGCATTCTGTCTAGAAACAACAGAAACAACTCTCTAGAACAAGGACAAACCAAACAGCATTTGATTAAAATCTATGCAAAATAATATCCTGTATTTTATTGTACTTAGACTGCTGAATTGTAATTTCAGCAGCAGTCTGTCATACTGATAGTACATAAGAATACACAGGACTCTGCAGGATTTGCTACTAAGTAAACTATTTTTTTAAAAGGCAATGAATGCTTTAAAATAATTCAGAGATATTAGAAAAGCAACAAAATAAAGAAACAATTTTTTATTAAGCAAAAATTATTGGCTTCTAAAGAGATTAAGAATAATTTTTATATATATATCTCTACACAACAATTACTGAAACCTCTTCTCTTAAAAATGAATAATCCTCTCAGGGTAAACAGACTGCATATTCACTCAAATGCTTCAGGAGATTAGCTTAGGCCTGTTGAGCTTTTTATGTCTTGCTTGCCAGGCTGATATCAACTGAAAACTTTAAGGTCAATGACTGGATGTTCATTGTGATGAAAAATAACCTGATGGTCTTTCAGTGCTGCCTTTATATAGTGTATTTCCACACACTGCTCAGATGCAAGATCAGTAGAGGGCAAGGGCTGAGTAGGCAGTATCTGTAAGGTATCATCCAGTCTTTATCACAGGAATTGGATTAGGTTGGATTAGGTAGTATTGTTGTACTTAGGGATTGCTAATCTGTTTACTTCACAGAAACATTTCTTAAAATCAAAACAAAACAAAACAAAACAAAAACCATACAATGAAAAACACCAAATCAAACAAAAAAAAGACAAAGAAAAAGAAAAGGAAAAAAACACATATAATCTAGAGTTTGCTGAAATAGGTGGGCAAACTGTTATTTATTTTATTTTATTTAATTTCAAATTGTTTGTTCTTATCCTGCAAAATACTTATCCAGAATTTGTATTTCAGGTGGTGATGAGTTATTATGCTTTGTAGGTAAAGAGATCTCTTTTTTTCCTATTTGTTTTTGTCACCAAATTGTATAATCAGTCAGAAGCAGTGATATTTTCACTTTTTATTTACAGTGACTTTTCTGTAATTCTACTCTGAGTGGACATCATGTGACTGAAGAAACTTTTTCAAAATTGGTCCCATTTCTGTACTTCTGTTTCAGAGCTCTGGAAGATGTGGATTTATCCCAACATCAGTACAAACCCGTTGGAGCCCTTTCTGGGGGAATGAAAAGGAGGCTGTCAATTGCCATCTCCTTTATTGGAAACTCAAAGACAGTTGTTCTAGATGAGCCCACCAGTGGAGTAGATCCGTGTTCTCGCCGTAGCATCTGGGATGTTCTTCTGAAGTACAAAGCTGGTAAAAAAGATTATACACATTATTTGCTGATTATTTTCCTTTCTGGAATTCTGTTTCAATAAATTATAACAAGATAGTCAGAATATTACTATTGCTATTCAGTAACTAAATACATTAATTTCAGTGGTAACATTTAATCAAACTTGGGAAAATTTTAAAGCAGACAAGTGGGATTACAAGGATTATCTGCTATTTTACAGAAAGATGCCCAATCTCAGACAAGATTGAACTTTGTTCTGAGTTCTGTCCTGAATTTTCTTTTCTCTTACTTTTTTCTTTTTTGTTAGCTTCTCTGAATTTTCTGGGTTTTACTTCCTATTTTGCACATATGTGCATGTACACTTCTAATGAAAACAGTCTCGTAAGTCAGTGTGCTACTTTACATGAGTTTAAAAACTGATTGTGGGAAGTGAAGTCTTCAGTTAGTGAGCACTCAATTAGCTGTAATAACTTACAATGAATGATACATTGAAACAGATACTGCTGTTATGTGATTTTAAGGAATCTCTTAAGCTCTTAAAACAGCTTGAAGTTGTAATGGTTTCATAGTGCTTACTATGTATAATACAAGGCAAGGCAAATTTAGAACTGAATCTAACTTGGACTGTAAATCTGAGTGGAGGTTTTGTTCGTGTCTTGTAGTTATGTTTGGAAGGGACCTGAAACATGTTCCCCTAGGGCCTTCTTGAAAGCAAGATGTGTTTCTCTAAAACCAGACTTTGTAGACACGTACCAATCTTTCTGATGCAGGTTGCACACTGATCTTTACCACTCACCACCTTGATGAGGCAGAGGTGCTCAGCGATCAGATTGCCATCCTGCAGCATGGCCAGCTGAGGTGTTGTGGTTCTCCTTCTTACCTAAGAGAAACATATGGCCAGGGACACATTCTAACACTCATAAAAAAGGTATACTACAAATGTACTGTACAGAACTCAACCATGCCTGCGAAGTAATAGCTGTGTATATTCTAAGAGAGCCATATGTCCTTGCTAGGAAGTAATACATGTTTTTATCAGCTTTCTTGGTTGTTTTGGGTGGGTGTCATTATTATTATTATTATTGTTGTTGTTGTTGTTGTTATTATTATTATTATTATTATTAATTAGAAGAACGTAATGACATCTTACTATTTAGCTGAAAAGGGCTTTGTCTCACTGTTCTATATTCCTGGAAAGCAGTATATTTGTGCCAGATTTAATGCAGTTTCATAAGTGGAAATTTTATTGTATGAATTCTATTATCAAGCCCCATACTTCTTATAACATTTAATTTTTTGTGCATGGTTACCTTTCTTTCCTCGTAGCCCTCTGTGTTTGAAATCCAGGATCCTAAGCATATTGTTCGGGTCACATCTTTGGTACAGAGCCACATCCCAGAAGCCTTCTTGAAAGAGAACAGTGGGACTGAGCTGACCTATGTGATTCCAGAAAAGGTAGACAAGACGTCTTTTAAAGGTCTTTTCCAGGCTTTAGATCAAAGCCTTCAACATCTACATGTGACTGGCTATGGCATTTCTGACACCACATTGGAAGAGGTACTTCTTTTTTTTCTATGTAATAACATTTCCTTGTTTAGAAAATCTTGTTAGATTCCAGCTACTCTTATATCTTTCATATTTCACAACAGTTTCTTTTGAGAAGTATGTTTTCTAAAAAAAACCAAAACCCAACAACAATAAAAAAATCGCAGGCACAATGTATACTTCATAGTTTTGCATTTCAGCACCTACTCTACAACTTATTTGTTATTTCAAGGATCCAATGTGAACACTGAGGAACTGTGTAACACTTAAATGTTTGTTTCTGCATTTACTTAAGGAAAATTTAATGTGTCATTGATTTAAGAAGAACTATTGGTTTTGTCCTGGTTCTCTTGCATTAGCATGAGCTTTGAACTCTCAAGGCTAGGGTAGCTACCTGGAGTTCAGGTATCTCTTGGGACCAGAAAAAAAAGATTGCTGAGAAAGCTCTGACTTAAAAAGTTCTAAATGTTAGGACTTAGCAAACCTGTGTGGGGACATCTCTAAAGAGTATTTTGTGTGTACACATAGAGAGACAGATTTATTATATGTATGCATGAACATATATACACACTAATATATATACATATATGTATATGTGTGTGTATATACCAGTATGTGACTTATTCTCACAAGTGTTACTCAGGGAAAGAGACTGTTACACTTCAACAGTTCTTAATTTAGGTCTGTGTAAATAGCCATATCAGTGAGAAGTTATTTTCCTTGGACTGTTTTTATCCCAACTATAACTTCTAAATATCAAGATTCCCTAAACCGCCACCGTTCAAGTTCTTTATTATAGATCCTTTTGAAAATATTTTTTTTCCACTTCATCATGTGATGATACGAGACTAATGTCAATATTTTTTTGTGCACAAAACACATTTATTTTTATTTGATGGCACAATTAATTCATTCAATATCACATTCTGAAACTGATTTCTTCAATTATTACCTATAGTGTTAATGACAGACAAGATTGGACTGTTTTCTAACAGAAAATTTAATATATGTTAGAAAAAACCTTCAATATATAGCAATAAATACTTAGGATGGAAAAAGGGTGTGTCTGTTCTCCCTCTGTTCTCTGCAAATGTGTGAGATGATGTGATGTAGTACTGTGGTCAGCTGAAACACAAGATCCACCAGGGAAGATGCTCATGGTTTCTGGTTTTATGAAAATGATCCACTTTAAGGCCTGTCAGACATCACTTATGCATTTTTGCTGCACGAGCTATACATATGAGAATTAACGGGGTCAGGTATTTGAAACTGCATGAGCAGTTCTGGGTTTGTTTTGCAAGTTTAGAATTGTTCATATTATGTTGTCTGTGGAGAAATATAAATAGAACCCAAATAATGCAAGTAAACCTAAAATGACAAATGCTTGTTGAATTTATTGAACCAATGCACCACCACGTGGAGCTGCTGTATCCTGAAGTGGTCCAGCAGAACACATCTTTAGGACTACATAGTTTTGCCACATAGGTTTTTAGGACCCCGCACAAGCATGAAGGATCTGGTTTTGCACATTTGGTTTTAAACTGTAGACCAAAGAATGATCTACCAGCAAGTGCGTGGTTTCCTTTGAAGCCAAGATCTATATAACTGAGTTATTTATAAAAGGAAAAAAAAAAGTCTCTCTTCAATGCTTCTTTTATAAATGACCACAGTACATAAAGCTAGGGTGGCAAGCGTTTGCTGTGGCAAGTGTTCACTATGGCAAGAAGGGGAGAAGGAAAAAAAAGTCATACAAGTGTAATAAAAATTTTACATAATACTAAAAAGTACATTATGTTCCTGCTATATAATTCTATGAGGCAAGTCAAAAGCTTACTGAAAAAGCTTATTGAAAAATTGTTATTTTCTTTCAAATTATATAGGGCAACTAACATGCTGTAAGAAAGAATACTGTTCACTGTCAAACTTTAAAGATTCGAAAGTAATGTGTATATTGACAATTTTTTTCGATCACATCCCTGTAGAATATCGATCACATCCCTGTGAGGCACATGGAGGACAGAGAGGTGATTTGAGACATGACTTTATGGTCCTCCCTGGCCAAGTCAGTGGCTTTCTTCTATGAAGTGACTACATCAGTGGACAAGAGAAGAGCTATGGATGTCATCTATCTGGCTTTCTGCAATGCTTTTGACAGGGTCCCCCCCAACATCCTTCTCTCAAAGTTGGAGACGCATGGATTTGATGGGTGGACTGTTTAGTGGATAAGGAATTAGCTGGATGGTCGCATCCAGAGAGTAGTGGTCAATGGCTCAATGTCGAGATGGAAGATGGTGACAAGTGGTGTCCCTCAAGGGTCTGTACTGGGACCAGTGCTGTTTAATATCTTCATTAATGATATTGACAGTGGGATTGAGTGCAACCTCAGCAAGTTCGCTGATGATACCAAGCTGGGTGGTGAGGTTCATGTGCCAGTGGGACAGGATGCCATCCAGAGGGACCTGGACAAGCTGGAAAAGTGGGCCAAGGTGAACCTCATGTGGTTCAACAAGGCCAAGTGCAGGGTTCTGCACCTGGGTCAGAACAGTCCTTGTTACTGATACAGGCTAGGAGATGTGTTGGAAAACAGCCCTGAGGAGAATGACTTGATGGTACTAGTGGCTGAGAAGCTGGGCATGAGCCACCAATGTGTACTTGCAGCCCAGAAGGCCAACCACATCCTGAGCAGCATCAAAACAAGTGTGGCTAGCAGATCACCTCGAGGGAGGTGATTCTGCCCCTCTACTCTGCTCAGATGAGACTCCACCTGGAGTACTGAGTCCAGTTCTGGGGCTCCCAATATAAGAAGGACATCGAGCTGTTGGAGTGGGTCCAGAGGAGGGCCATGAAGATGATCAGAGGGCTGGAGCACCTCTCCTACGAAGACGGGCTGGGAGAGTTGGGATTGTTCGGCCTGGAGAAGGGAAGGCTCCGGGGGGAGCTTTTAGTGACCTTATAGTGACCTGAAAGGTGCCTATAAGAAATCAGGGGAGGAACCGTTCAAAAGGGCACGTAGCTATAGGTTTAGGTTGGATGTTAGGAAAATGTTCTTCAACATGAGGGTGATGGATCACTGGAACAGGTTTCCCAGAGAGGTGGTGGAGGCCCACCCCTGGAGATATTCAAGGTCAGGCTTGATGGGGCCCTGAGCAGCTTGATCAGTGTCCCTGCTCACTGAAGGGGGTTGGACTGGATGCTTTTTAAAGGTCCCTTCCAACCCAATCCATTCTATGATTCTATGAATATCATAGGACTTTCCAGGATTTGTGGGATAGGAAGGACCAAAAATGTTGCTAAAATATCAGTCAGTGGTTTTAGATGATAAAGAACTTTGTTGTTTGGGGTTTGTTATTTTTTTTTTCACTCCTTGCTTTCTCTTTCTTCCAGCTGCTTTGGCTTTCTGCACTTTTTCCTTTGAGTTGAAGATGTGTTTTAGGAGTGGTAACTAAGATGTAACAGGGTTCCAATGCTCTGCAGTGAAATGCCAAGGATACTGTGCCACTGTACCAGTGAACCAGGCATGTTTCTATGGTGCTGTCCCAAAGAAGGAATTGGGAAGAAATCAGGGAGAAGTTGCCTAGTACAGCTTAGAGGGGGAGTGGGGGACATGTCTGTTTCCTCAGATTCTTCTACAGACAACCGTCTGGACAGGCCCTTGGTCAGATATGGACTTGCTAGCCAGAGCAGAAATTAAGCAGGAATTGCTAAGGTATGTATGGAAAGGGATGCTCTGCTGAGGTCTAGAAGACACCTTCTGTTGTTGAATTTATCCAGTCTTTTAGGTATGGCAAGAACATATTTTCTTTCTGTCATGGTGTCTAATACTGACTTTTCCAGTTCTGTGTATTCTGGAGGGTATTTACGCTGCTAATAACATTGTTAGGCTAGTACTACTTCTGTCCACAGTATCCTGTGCAATATTAGATAAATAGTCATTTCTTCCATAGAATATGGTCCCTGATGATTGCAGTTCTTAATAGCATGTTTAAGAGCTGCCTGGATACCATGGGAAGGACTGGGCAATACAGGTGGCCTTCTGCCTGTAGAGCTGTATCAGAATAGCTGTGTAAGTGAAGCTACAGTAGACAAGTAGAAAAGTGTTTGGTGAATTTGTTTTGTTTTAGAAGTATAATTACATCCTCTCTTCAAGTGACATAACATGATTAAAGAAAAATAGGTCTGTCTGCAACCCTAGCAGGAATTTTGATACTGAATTAAGTATATGCAGTCAACTTTTTATAGTGTAGCCTTTGTCCTAGCCAGAGAGGAGCAGATCCTTTGTGGTTTCAGTTGGTTCAGTTTGGTTTGTTTGACAGAACTAGTGTGCAGAGAAGCCATCAGCAAGCAGGTCCAAGGTAACAAATTAAACTGTGGCTTTGGGCTGTCAGGATCTCCCTCCAGGGTCTACTCTAGAATGTCACAGGGGTGTTAATTACTTCTGGCCTTGCAGTTGTTAATGGCCAAAAGTGTTCTCTGAAAGTTGGCAGGTAACAAATGCAATCAATAACCACTATTAAATAGTAATTATATTGACTAGGCAAAATATGGTTTATATAACAGTCAGACCTTAGCAAGCCAAGTAATATCTTTCTGCAACAATAAAGTACTTCAAATTGACTGTTTTTTATTGTCTGTCATATGAGCTCCTAGGAAAAAGGAATTTTTTGCTATAGCTGATATCAGGTTCTTTTGTGGCAAGAAATAAATGGTTTCTTAAAGTTTTCTGAAAATCACACTGTGTTTACAATCTAAGTCTTGCAGCTCAACTCACACAGAAGAGAAAGCAAAACTTGGTTGTACTTTTGCTGTTCAATTAGAGATACTTATGGTACCTGTATTTTCTGTTAATTTTTCTTTTCTTTCTTTTTATTTGAAGTTTGTAGATCACTGTTTAATTTGCATTTCAGGTTAAGATAAGAAAATATTAATTTTATTTTTCGTTTGAGCTTACAAGAAGTCAGGTGAGTGTTAATAACCGACACACTATGAAAGCTGTTCCAAGATTCTGCAAGGCTGAGGGACTGATAAATGAAATACATCTCTATGAAATTCAAAGGACTTTATGTGGAAAGAACCATGAAATAGGATTAAGCAAGAAGTAGTAGGTCAAACACAAATCTCTTTGGCAAAACGTATTTATCATTTAAATAGATCTCATTATGAAGTTGGGGTTTTTTATGTTATCTTTAATTCCCTTCTAATGTGTGTCCTCTCTTCTTAGGAAGAGTTGATCCTTACAGTTTTACTCTAGTGCAGATTTTTAGATTGTTACCTTTGTAACAAAATAATTTCAGTTTTTCCTGTGGTGATTTTAGGTAACAGGATCCTATCATCTTCTCCCGGTTTGGAGGACACATGCTAAAGGTTTTGCTATAAAACATGCATTGTTGCCCAGTCCTCTCCATAGCATTAGTTAGACAGGTCGTTGTAAATGTTGACTGTGCCTGATGATTGTATTGTTCTTTAAATTTCTTCAGTAGCATTATTGCCCTCATGCTTGCGTAAATCTAAGGACACTTCCCAGAGCTCTGTGGATTCTTGGTTCTGTAGGATTTTATACATTATTAGATTTAGTTGTACTGGTACAACTTGAGCTCTTTTGTTCCAGTTGTGCTCATAGATTTCTAGCTACAGTATCAGAAGAGACTTGAAGCTGTCAATATGTCCTTGGTAAAAACTGCAATAACTGAATTCTGACATAAGCCGCAGCTTGGGACTATAAAATGTCAATCAAGGACAGCCAATGTATTGAAAAATCTTTGCAGATAGTAGTGTGCATGAGCCAACAATGGTTTACATAGGTGCTTTTACACATATTTATATTTATTCGTTTCCTCTTATTCCCAGTATTCCTCCACTGGAGAGCTTGACAAATTTTATAGTCATTCCAGCAGGCTGGCTACAGCAGCCACTACTACTATCTGTCAGTCTAGATGGTTTAGCATATATATGTATGTGTGTATGTGTGTGTGTATATATATGTGTGTATATATATATATATTAAAAAAGTGTGTGTGTTATTTCTATATTTATATATATAAAGCAGTTTTTAGAAAACTGATTCTAAGTTATTCTTTTTCTTATTTCATGATAGGTATTTCTGAAGCTATTGCAGGACACGGAGAAGATGCCTTGTGTTTCACGAGCAGCACACTTGGACCATACAAATGGTGCTAAATCAGCCTGTAAGTAGAAAACTAGGTACTTTCTGAAGCAGCCAGATTTAAAAAAATCACAAATGCAAAGATAGACATGCACAAAGATTCAAAAGTTGAGGAATGCACAAGTAAATGAAATATATTATGTGCTACCATGTGGTAATTCTTTTTTTGTGCACGTGATGTGATGTGTTCTGCCTTAGGTTATAGGTTTTTACAAGTCTACTGTGATTCACCTCTGTATCACTTCACAGTTTTCTTCCTTTTACTATGCGTACACATGCACACTCACTGCATCAGTGTGAACCTACTGCTTCCTACCAGTCCTTGGCAACTAATTACCCTCTTAGACTTATACTGACAATGAATAAATACTGTTGAGCTATACCACAGATGTAAAATCTGCAAGCTATAAGAAAGGTGTATTCATCTCCACCCATGTGCAAATTAAAAAAACCCAAACAACAAAACAAAACAAACAAAAAAACCTAGCAAAAAAACCCCTGTTTCCTGCTGTGGTAGAAGATCATTTGTCCTCTCAAGTGGCATGTTATTTCAGGTTCCCCTTACAAGTTTGTTTGTTTTAAAACAAATTCCTTCATGCTTTCTATTTTCCTGCCCAGCAAGCCTGGGAGGAGGTCCTTATTAACATTTCTGAAACCATAGGAAGTTTGTTCTCCTTAAAACTCTTCTTAGAAACCACCAATGTGGTACCTTGCAAAATGCAAGAATCAAGTTCCCTAACAACAGTGCCCACCAAGCTCATCAATATTTTCTCATTGTTCTTGGGGTTCTCATGCTTCTATGTGTACCATATCTTTTTTCTATTTGATGATTTATATCTAGATTATAGTCTTCTTTGGTTAGATGTCAAACGTTTTGTTCTATATGCAGTCCTCTTAGGGTTTGTTTTCCCTACAGAACATAGGCACAGAGAGGTCCTGGTCTGTGACTGAAGACCTTCATTTTTACAGTAATGGAAATAATAACATTGAACCAAGCTTGTCTTATTTGTTAAGATAAATTCAATTGGACCTGTCAGTAATACATAATCAGTGCCAAGAATTGTGACCTAAGAGAAGTAATTTTCTCACTAAGTGCAAACTTGACTGGATGACTTTTTCAAGAGGATCTTTTTGCTGGACCATTTCAGTCCCTGTTAAATCAGTAAAGATGAAACTATACAGCAAAAAACCCTCACTAAACAAATAAAATATCCACTCCTGTGAGTGGTGAGAACAAGGCTTCCATTCAAGATACAGTTTTGAATATACTTTTATTTCGTAACAATCAGCTGCATATTTCTTCTAGGCTTAGCTAGGATATCTGAACCAATTTCAAATCAAAACAGTCTATCTTCTCCATATTGCCTTTTTATTAAAAAGTAAGATTTACAGTTTCTAAAGTAATGAAAACAGAGCATATTGTACCTAACAACTTGAAATCTTTTACCATTCACATTTCAAAACACATAACTTAGTATTTGTTCAAGCTGTTACGTTAATAAAGAATCTAGTAATCCGAGACTCTGTATTTTTCAGTCTGATAAATTATAGCAAGAAAATGTGGTGAAAATGCCTTTTCTTTGGGGGTGAGAGTACTGGAAAATTGTCATTCATTACAGATGACTGTCATTCATCATTAAGGACAGTTGTGAAGTGTAGGCATAAGGGATCTGGGAAATGGTCTTGAAAGGTATCCATCATTGTCAAAGCTAACCAGAATACTCCATGGGCAATAGCTTGACCTGTATAATTTTGTCTTTGAAAGCAGATTCAAAGGCAGTCAAACTTTCTGTTGTCAAAGTAGTCACATGAATTTTCAAAACCCCCTAGAGCAAACAGCTGGGTTATTGAGAAGATCACAGGATGCTGCTATTTGATTTGTAAAAGAATTTGGATTAGGGAGCTGCTATGACAAAGCATGGATCAGAGCACAGGCAGGGGTACTGGCTATTCTTTACTGGTACTGAGACCTTGAGGTATCAGGACTGTGTAGAAATTAAAATGTTGTCTCTTCTTCCCAACCAGGAAGTGTAGTGGAGCGGTGTACATGTCTCTTCTTAAATGAAACTGAAAAAAATCAGCACATGATTTAGGCCAATGACCAGTGCCAAAAACAGACAAGAGACATCACTTCAAAAAAATATAACAGTATCTCACTGAAGCTGAAGTTCTGATAATTTCTAGTTATGTTTTACAGTGTCTTATTGTACTATGTCTGGCTGGAATGGAACTACTTTTCTTCATAGCAGCCCTTAGTGAAACTAAACTATAGAAAATTCAAAATGGATAAAATTATATTTTTCACACAGTGTTAGATAACATTTGAAATTCATTGCCATGAAACATTATGGAGACTAGGATTGTGGTAATATGTTTTAAAAAGCCAAAGAGTGGTTATTAGTGTATATATAATATGGATAGCTATAGTAACAGAAATGCTATAAAAGCTTATATGTCTTTGAACTTCCTGGATAAGTTAGCCACTGAGAGTGTTGGAGTGGAAGCAGGTTGATGCTTAACTAATTTTTATGGTTGCTTAAAACTTTCTCCAAAACAACTGGTGTTAGCCATTTTGAAGCATATTGGTCAAAATGTTACATTGCTCCTATTAGGATTGAAGAGATCAACATTATACAGTACTTATAAAGCACATCTGAAACTAATTTAATTAAGAAATTATAGCTGACAAAAAGCTGTCATCAGTAACGAAACAAAAAATTGAAGTGCTTTCAGTGAACTTTCACTGAGTTTCAACTCTGCCTTTTTATTATTTTCATCAGTGATACTGAAGTAACTACAAGCTTATGAAAAAAAAAACAGTGACTGCTGCAAGGGATTGGTAGAATGGCACTGAGTTGGACCAGGTCTAAAGAGTGAATGAGATCACTTGACAAGCTGAATCTCTTCTAAGTATGTTTTAATTAAGTCAAATGCTGGGGAAATATAATGGGGAGTAATATGTTAGAAGACACTGATTTTGAAAGTTACCTACTAATCCTGGTGAAAAGACATTTTAAGACAGTATGGCTAAGATGATTTATGTTTCAATTTAATGTTCAAAAGGACATGAAAAGGTCATTTTGACTATCAGTACAAAATTGATGAGACTGATGCTACAATACTAGGTACAACATTTGTGTCTATGTTTTGAAGTTTGAATGTCTTTAAGGAAAAGCTGAGATTTTGGAAAGGGAAAAAAGAAGAGTTAAATTTGGAGGTTAGAGGTGAAGTCCTTACAAAGCACCATAAGGGCTTGGTTAATCTAGTTTATCAAAAACAAGATAGAGAAGTGGTTTGGCTAAAATTCCTAAACTTTTTTATGTGTAGAGAACACTGTCCGTTAAGGTATACTTCTAACTTTTATAGGGGCAGAAGTGATAAATGGAATAAAGGAAGCAATAAGAGAAACAAATGGCTGGAAGCTAAAGGCAGACACTTCTCCTAAAGGTTAATTAACAGTTGGAGTTAGTCTACCCAAGGAAGTATGTTCCCTCTCCTGGTGCATTTGACACAAGCCTGGGGCCTTTGCAGAGAATGTGCTACAGTAAAAGGTGTTATTGATTTCTGCACATGGGTAACAGAGTAGAATTTGATGTCTGTTGATAGGTGAATAAGTTGCTCTGTTCTTAGAGAGGACCTTTTAATCCACTATGACAAATTGAGTTCCCTGTAACTACAAAATAAGGGTTGATGCTCTATTTGTTATATGTTTGAAGTTCTATCACAAGATCAGGTTTTAAGTTGAATTCCCTTCTTTCACTTCCCTGTAAAATTCACTTAAAAGGATATAAAAATTATTTTAATGCTCCATCTTGCAAAATGTAACTTGTTTTCTGAGTAGAAAACTGTGGACAATAAAGAGCAGTGGCTCTATTTAGAAGTGGCTGCTGACATGAAGACATGTTAAAATTTTCAGTTTTTTGCCAGCTGCTGATAAGGAGAAAATACAGTATGCATTTCAGTCTTCTGGTCATCTAATAGTACTGATGACCTTACCACTTTATTTCTGCACTGGACCCTGAAAAAGAAGTGTCAAAATAGCTGGGCAAAAAATCTTCAATACATTATATTTTCTTTCAGCTTTTTTAATTATTATTTTAGTTAGTTTCTTGCAAGAAATCTTGTGATTCTAGCATATGTTGAAAACTTAATTCCGATTATTTAGCTTTATACTCCTCAACCCTTCACTTTTCTTTTTGCCATCCTTTCAGGATTGTCTGAAGCATAGAATGAGGATGGAGCATCTTTATAATGTTACCCATCAGTAATCACAGAAAGATAACCAATCTCAAAAATAAGATCAAAAACTAATGAATAAAGCATCTGCCAGAAGGTGTCTCTGGTCTGTCACTAAAATATTTATTTTATGTAACAAAAGCCCACAAAGACATTATCAACAGTCACAAATCTGTTTTCTTGATATCAGCACCATTCTGCAGGACTACAAGGTTTTCATTTCTCAAAGCTAATGAGAAACTGGTTTAGGAGTTACAAGGACAGCATCCTAAGTAGATTCAGTATGGCAGTATGCTGAGCAGCCAGCACTTAAGACTGCACTTCTCTTTGCTCACTGTTCATGCAATAAACTTAACTAGGTCATGAAATGACACCTTGATAAGATTTGCGTGTTACGCTCTTGCCAGTTAATTCCTTATTTAAAGTATATAGCTGAGAATTTATGATATGTGAACTTGGTGTTGGAATTTTGTATAGGTGGAAATTTTTACCTATATAACATTTTCTCTTTCTATCTGTTTCTTGATCTATTTTTGCAGTTTATCTAGGTTACCATATTCATTGGAGGCACTAGAAAAAATAGAACAGTTGGTTCTCTTAATCAAGATCATTGTGGCTGTTTAATACCACTATTTATGACATACCCGAATGCCTGAGGAAAGAGATTATTAGTCAAATACATTTTTCAATTGTTTGCTATAGCTGTGAGTCTGAATAAAATATGCTTTCTGCAGAAATCAGTCATCTTTCAGTTTTGAATTGTTTCCCTGCACAAACTCTGATAGG